GGTGTAGGTGTGTGTGGGTGTAGGTGTGTGTGGGTGTAGGTGTGTGTGGGTGTAGGTGTGTGTGGGTGTAGGTGTGTGTGGGTGTAGGTGTGTGTGGGTGTAGGTGTGTGTGGGTGTAGGTGTGTGTGGGTGTAGGTGTGTGTGGGTGTAGGTGTGTGTGGGTGTAGGTGTGTGTGGGTGTAGGTGTGTGTGGGTGTAGGTGTGTGTGGGTGTAGGTGTGTGTGGGTGTAGGTGTGTGGGTGTAGGTGTGTACTCACCTAGTTACTCACCTAGTTGAGGTTGCGGGGGTCGAGTCCGAGCTCCTGGCCCCGCCTCTTCACTGACCGCTACTAGGTCACTCTCCCTGAGCAGTGAGCTTTATCATACCTCTGCTTAAAGCTATGTATGGATCCTGCCTCCACTACATCGCTTCCCAAACTATTCCACTTACTGACTACTCTGTGGCTGAAGAAATACTTCCTAACATCCCTGTGATTCATCTGTGTCTTCAGCTTCCAACTGTGTCCCCTTGTTACTGTGTCCAATCTCTGGAACATCCTGTCTTTGTCCACCTTGTCAATTCCTCTCAGTATTTTGTATGTCGTTATCATGTCCCCCCTATCTCTCCTGTCCTCCAGTGTCGTCAGGTTGATTTCCCTTAACCTCTCCTCGTAGGACATACCTCTTAGCTCTGGGACTAGTCTTGTTGCGAACCTTTGCACTTTCTCTAGTTTCTTCACGTGCTTGGCTAGGTGTGGGTTCCAAACTGGTGCCGCATACTCCAATATGGGCCTAACGTACACAGTGTACAGGGTCCTGAATGATTCCTTATTAAGATGTCGGAATGCTGTTCTGAGGTTTGCTAGGCGCCCATATGCTGCAGCAGTTATTTGGTTGATGTGCGCTTCAGGAGATGTGCCTGGTGTTATACTCACCCCAAGATCTTTTTCCTTGAGTGAGGTTTGTAGTCTCTGACCCCCTAGACTGTACTCCGTCTACGGCCTTCTTTGCCCTTCCCAATCTTCATGACTTTGCACTTGGTGGGATTGAACTCCAGGAGCCAATTGCTGGACCAGGTCTGCAGCCTGTCCAGATCCCTTTGTAGTTCTGCCTGGTCTTCGATCGAGTGAATTCTTCTCATCAACTTCACGTCATCTGCAAACAGGACACCTCAGAGTCTATTCCTTCCGTCATGTCGTTCACAAATACCAGAAACAGCACTGGTCCTAGGACTGACCCCTGCGGGACCCCCGCTGGTCACAGGTGCCCACTCTGACACCTCGCCACGTACCATGACTCGCTGCTGTCTTCTGACAAGTATTCCCTGATCCATTGTAGTGCCTTCCCTGTTATCCTGCTTGGTCCTCCAGTTTTTGCACCAATCTCTTGTGTGGAACTGTGTCAAACGCCTTCTTGCAGTCCAAGAAAATGTGTGGTGTGTGTGTGCTTGTGTGTGTTTGTGTGTGTGTTTGTGTGTGTGTGTGTGTGTGTGTGTGTGTGTGTGTGTGTGTGTGTGTGTGTGTGTGTGTGTGTGTGTGTGTGTGTGTGTGTGTTTTTATACGTGTGTATACGTGTGTGTATACGTGTATATGTGTGTGTATATGTGTGTGTATACGTGAGTGTATACGTGTGTGTGTATACGTGTGTGTACGTGTACTCACCTAGTTGACGTTGCAGGGGTCTAGTCCTAGCTCCTGCCCCCGCTTCTTCACTGGTCGCTACTAGGTCACACGTGTGTGTGCTCACCTATTTGTACTCACCTATTTGTGGTTGCAGGGGTCGAGTCATAGCTCCTGGTCCCGCCTCTTCACTGATTGCTACTAGGTCCTCTCTCTCCCTGCTTCATGAGCTTTATCATACCTCGCCTTAAAACTATGTATGGTTCCTGCCTCCACTACTTCACTTTCTAGGCTATTCCACGGCCTGACTACTCTATGACTTAAGCAATACTTCCTAACATCCCTTTGATTCATCTGAGTCTTCAACTTTCAATTGTGACCTCTTGTTTCTGTGTCCCATCTCTGGAACATCCCGTCACGTGTGTGTGTACGTGTGTGTGTGTGTGTACGTGTGTGTGTGTGTGTGTGTGTGTGTGTGTATGTGTGTGTGTGTACATGTGTGTGTGTGTACGTGTGTATGTGTGTGTGTGTACGTTTGTGTGTACGTGTACGTGTGTGTGTGTGTGTACACGTGTGTACATGTGTGTGTGTACGTGTGTGTGTATGTGTGTGTGTGTACGTGGCATGTGTGTACATGTGTGTGTACTCACCTGTATGTGTACATGTATGTGTGTATATACGAATACCAAAAAATTAATCTTACAATAATTTGGTTTATAAAGTCTGTCTTCCTCCGAATACCTGGCTGTCTTGATACGAGATCCTTGATTCCAATTTTACATACACACAAAAAAATATACGAAAAAATGGAAGGAACACACATACTAATCTTGGAATAAAACTGATAAAAATGACAACCACTGGCCGTGTCTACCACAAGACAGTGCTTGAGACAAGTACAGTATAAGAGCCCACCTGGGGCCCTACCTGTCTGCCTACACTACTGTATTTATAAGAGGCTTACAAAATCTAGGTTACCAGTAATGCCCTCACACAACCTCACATATAATATGTAAAACTGAACAGAAATTTGTACATGTAACAAAGTATTGCCAATTAGCTTTGGTAAACCTAAACCCTGCACAGATATAATGCTTCTATATCAAGAACATTGTAAAAGAAAATAAAGGACTACATGCAAAGCAAATATAATATATATATATATAATAATAATCTCCTTCATAGAAATAACGCTATAAACTCTTAGTGACTTCATGAAACACTGACCACGGAAAGATAATAATTGGCCGTGTGACAGTTGGCATCTTGAATGAGACAACTCCTCATCAGACAAGTCATAACCATGAAAGGCTTATGGAACAAAGCCATATCTGGCTTCTTCTGAGACATAAGCATATAACTTACATTGTTTATTGTAGTTTCTTCTCACTGTAATACTAGCAGAATAAAATAGCAAATTCTGTAGCTTAAAATATCTAACGTCTGACATTTGGGGTTGAATCAGACTCGGACAAACCATTCCTGACATCACGGCTAAATGAATGTATCACAAGCTAAGGAGGTTACAAAATAAAATATTGGCCGCAGCCTAACACAAGCAAAGACAACTCTGACTTGTGGTCAAGACAAGAGCTTAGGTTCCCTCCAAGGCAGCTGCATCAACTCACAGTACCACTAATCACTAAAGCATTTTATGTAATTTCCAATTGCAAGATTTGTCCTACTACAGCAAAAGGACCAAAGAAAAGCCAAAGGCAACCAATTTGTAAAGCTAATACCTTTACGATAAATAGTGGTTGAATGCCTCAATTATTTCCAACTCAAAAAAATTCTCACACACCTCTTTTTTTATGAATGATATTTATGCTTATTTCACAATGGAAAAAACGTGAAATCTGCATAAAAAACTTTGTCTTGCATAGCAAACAAATTGGCTTTTTGAGAATAGTAGAGGCATCAATGTGATAAGTGTGGTTGATGTCACTATAAGGCTGAGGGATGATATACCACAACCTATACATCTCAACCTTAATGGCTGGTGGGCAAATTCTCCTGTCTTGCCACCACCCAGAGAAAACTTTGACACACAGGGAAGAACTCACCACAATGGTCTGGGTTACCCCCCGCCACAGCCTTGGTGGGGGTCAAGGCCAACAGTGCAAGCACCCAATTTATTAAGAGACTAATGGAAAAAGTTTTATCAGAAATCATAATTGACAATAGCCCAAAATGTGATTATTAAACACAGAAATTATTGTACTCAGTATTCCTGCAGAAAATTTAATGTTGTGTTATCTTTTAACTCGGGAAGAGGAAATATATCTTAAAATATGCTAAATATAAATGGGGCACTTTCCAAGAAGCCACAGAAGACCCTGCTGCTGTAGCGAGTCCCACACACCACAGAGAGACAATATTGTGTTTACAGTTTTCCTGAATTATCTGTGGGGCCTGAACAAAGAAATGCTACGTTGAGGGATAACTTGGATTTGTGCCTACACACCACATTTGGCACAAGATATAGTTCATAAGGGTGATATGTCACCCTGTAATCTAAGGCTGATTCACATAGGGATACAAGTTCAAGGAAGCCCTCAACGCTGTACATCTAGGGGTTGCTCACATGACTGCTAACTAAGCAAAGACCCGTACAGTAAATCTCTTAGAAGTAATAGACTGCAGGAGCATGTTTTCACTAAATGTATTCATGTTTGGGAAAGGGGTGAATGTCTGCTTTTGTTTGTGTTTTGTGTGTGTGTGTGTGTGTGTGTGTGTGTGTGTGTGTGTGTGTGTGTGTGTGTGTGTGTGTGTGTGTGTGTGTGTGTGTGTGTGTGTCTGTGTGTGTGTGTGTGTCTGTGTGTGTGTGTGTGTGTGTGTCCGTGCATGTGTGTGTGTGTGTGTCCGTTGTGTGTGTCCGCGTGCGCGCGCGTGTGTGTGTGTGTGTGTCCGTGTGTGTGTGTCCGTGTGTGTGTGTCCGTGTGTGTGTGTCAGTGTGTGTGTGTCCGTGTGTGTCCATGTGTATGTGTGTCCATGTGTATGTGTGTGTGTCCGTGTGTGTGTGTGTCCGTGTGTGTGTCCGTGAGTGTGTCCGTGTGTGTGTCCGTGTGTGTGTCCGTGTGTGTGTGTCCGTGAGTGTGTGTCCGTGTGTGTGTGTGTGTCCGTGTGTGTGTGTGTGTGTGTCTGTGTGTGTCCATGTGTGTGTCCATGTGTGTGTCCGTGTGTGTGTCCGTGTGTGTGTGTCCGTGTGTGTGTGTCCGTGTGTGTGTGTCCGTGTGTGTGTGTCCGTGTGTGTGTCCATGTGTGTGTGTGTGTCCATGTGTGTGTGTGTGTGTGTGTGTGTGTGTGTGTGTGTGTGTGTGTGTGTGTGTGTGTGTGTGTGTGTGTGGTGTGTGTGTGTGTGTGTGTGTATGTGTGTGTGTGTGTGTGTATGTGTGTGTGTGTAGTGTTGTGTGTGTGTGTATGTGTGTGTGTATGTGTGTGTGTGTGTGTGTGGGTGTGTCTGTCTGTCTATTTGCATGTATATATACAGGCACATGTACTCCATTTGAATGATAAAGTTCAAGCCTTAATGTAGAAAAAATAATATAGTGTAATGTTCAACCTCATACACATACTATAATCCCCAAGTTCCTTCAGCAAAGTGCAACGTTGAGTACCTCCTTACCCATCTCCCTTCACTTCTAGCTGTTCTCTGCCCTTTCATAGGCCTGCAAAAAAATTCAATCTGCTAAACTCAACTTAGTAATTTTTCCCAAATGTCAAGATAACCTCTAAATAAATTGATTGTTGTTTCCTAACATGAGCTTGGTAAACCAGAAGCATATATTTCAGCAAGCTTATGACAGAACAGATATTGTATGGCAACAAATTGATGCACCGTATACGTATTCCAGACTGTTTGATTCAGTCCTGAATGATTACTTAATGGTACTATATGACATGTCAAAAGACTTCGGCAAAAATACAATATCTGCCAAGAAAATGTGGTAATACTAAAGGCAGATCTTATTTCCATCACTGAAAGCAAAGGTTCACATTTAACAGACATATAAATCATATGCCTCTTTCTCTTCACTAACACCAACAAATGCTTCTAAAACGCACTGTTGATCAACTGAAGTTCTTTCGCTCATCAAATTCACTAAAAATTCATATATACACATACAGAATTCATTTCCTGTACACAAGTGTAAATGATACCCAATATTACACAGGTCACTGATTGGTGGCAGTACAGAGAAAATGTGCACCTACTTCAAATATGCCTTTTAGAGATGACCTTAAAAAATTATATCAGGTAATTAAGTAAAATTGTCATGTATGGCAGAACGGACCCCACAGTCATTTTATCCCCCTAAAGAAACTACTCGCAATAAACACACACAGCAGACACACTCAAATAGTCTCAAGAGGCCATAATCCATCTCTACAAACACATGCATGCAAAACTCCTCAAACAAGAAAGCCTCCTCAGAGGCTGCCACTATATGTGATTGAATGATATATATATATAGATATATATATATGAATACTATCAGTTCTACACACTATAATCCTATTAATTATATAAAGTAATAAAGAGGCATTGCATATGCAGTTTCATTTTAGTTCTTTTAAAGTCTTACAGGTACTAGGGGTTCTAAAAATTTTTGCACAGTAGAAGTCAAAAACCTTAAATTAAGAAAAAAATATGCTCAAGTTAAGACAAGAAAGACACGTAGAAGATGAAACCAGCAAATTGCATCCAAAATGTGTCACGGTCAGTTGTTCAGAGCCTTGGGGGACCCGTCTAGTACATCAACAACTCAAAATTCAAAATATTAATGATGGCGGGCACTTAACACCATGTGTAGCTGATAAGTATTACACTATTCGCTTATAAAATTCCTGGATATGTTAGTCATGTGTATTAAGGAACCATAAAGTGGCCAATAGTGATGAGTGGTAATGATCTATATTCTACTTCTGTTCTCACAACAAAGCACTTAATGAAAAAATGACACTCACGCACGAACTATATAATAAAGTTTTGATTATATATAGTAAATAGAACAAAATAACTTTCTTTGGATCTGGATAAATCAGCTCCACTGTGGGAACAAAGTAACAAGCAAATGTATTTCACAATCAGAAAAACAAAGCCACAAAGGATGCATGATTACAAAATTACATTTCTGAATGTTTAAACTTTCAAGAAATTTATTATGTTATGTTATATAAATCAATGTTTGTCCTGTAGCTCTACTTTCTCTAAGCTCAGCTGAGTTACTACTGTGTTTTATTGACTGGTAGACGGAGTGTTGATGAGGATCAACTTTCCCTGAGTTGGAGTGGGTAGCTGAGCCCTAATGAGCCTCCCCTGTAAGGATGTACCGACCTTGTCACAAACCCAGTGTGTAAAGTTAAGGAAGCACCAGCCCATTAATTCTCTCAGGTCAAATTCTCTGCTTAGAGGAAAAACTATCACAACTAAATTTCATTATTTGTTCTTTCTCGTCAAAATTTTTTAATAAAATGTCTGTCTCTTTAATACATGATTACATGATAATTAATTAAAACTTCAAATAAAGCAGATTAGATGAACATGCCTGAGTTTCCCTCTCTTTCTCAATCACTGAAAATGATTCCTCACAACAATGAGGTGTAGGGACCTGGGCAATCACAACTTAACACCTGAAGAATTCTTAACCATTCTTTCTAAAGCCATCAGATCAAATACCCCTAACAAATTTAAACCATAACCAGGAACACCAGATGAAGAAAGCTTAGGGCATCAACATCTAGTGCACATATAGATAGCTATGGTAAAAATTTTCAGGGTACATTAAAGCTGTTTTCAGGAGCTGAGAAAGCTAACCTGTTCACTAACGCTGAAGTCTCTCACAACAAACTATATACAGCCTAATCTCGTTTGCTCGATCAATTTCTGCAGTGGAATAATTTCTCACAGTAAAACAAGAAATGTAGGAGGTTATCAAGTAAAACTCCCAACTTGTGTAAATACAGTAGGCAAGAACAATGGCAACAATATAATAAGGGCAACATAAGTGAAATGCCATCAAATCTCTCCAGTTCTTTGGAACACAACTGATACCCATCACTGGTGTAACTGTGAATATACTTTCCCTCAATATGTGGACATTTACTGTTTTATCACAAACTATAAAGACGTTGAGGTATCACTAGAATATAGATGGTAAAATAATCAAATGATAAAATGTGCAACCTCATTTAAAGTGCCCATGAGGATTTTCAAGAAAGCCCTTAATATGAAGTGGAGCAAAATTATGTGGAAGCCTTATTTGCTGAATCACTTACTTTGCAATTTTGTTAAAACTTATGATTGATAATACAATTATTTAAAAATTTTGACATAAATAATGTATATAAAATCACATAATGCATGCTACATTAAGTTAATTAACAATCAAAAAGACCTTTTCCTTGTTTGAGATGTACTGTGTTAACATTACATCCTTGATGGCTGTCGAACAAACGATGACCAACTTTTTGACCATTAGCATCTGCAGCATTCTATCACCAGAACATTTGACCACCACAACCAATAACTCCACAACACAATGCTGGTTCAATATTCACAGTACTGTACAGGTATTTGTGGCATAATTTGCTAATTTGGGGCCATATGAAAAATAGTGAAATTAAAGCATCAACCCAGCTATCTCTAGCCTCTTTCTGTTATTCAATAATGTTTTTAGTGAGATTTGGCAGAGACATCAAGGTTAAGCTTTAGGAGGCTTCACTGTGCATATAAGCTCATCACTTTACACTTAAACTTGTTTCTGGAGACTCTTGTGGAAGAGCTTTTGATTCAGTTTCATGGGGATGCTCACAGTCTCCCTCCTCTACACCCTTCTGTTCATATTCCCCTCCTCCTGCACCATCTACAATTACTTCTCTTCTTTCTTTAACATCCGCTGCGCCTCTTGGTCCTGTTTCTCTACTGACTTGCACCTTATTACTCTTAATACCTTTTCCTTCAACATCCTTAGGCCACTCATCCTTGTTAAAGGGAGAGTCTGAATTGTAGCTAGGTGAATATGGTTCTTCTTTTGGCTCACAAAGCTGAACTATAGGTTCAAAATTTGGCCCTTCCGTTCCATCATCCCCATCTTCTGTTCCATCCTCGCCTTCATCTACTTCCTCACCCTCAGCTCCTTCCTCTCCTTCAGACTTCATTAAATATTTTGATTCTCTAAGGATCTTGATTTTAAGGCTCTTGATAGGATGACGCTTCTTTTTATGAGTCTTCAAACAGCGTTTTAGTCTAAACATTGCTGGACATTCATCACATTTGATTCTACGCCTTCCCTGCCCTGGCCCCTTTCCATGCATTCTTTGTATATGCGTCTTTAAATTTGATCTCTGAGCAAATCCAGCCCCACAATGATCACATTCAAAGGGTCTATCACCTGTATGTAGCTTCATATGGATCCGTAGGTTGCTATTCATTGTAAATTTTGCACCACACTCAAGACAATTGTAAGGTTTAATTGCACTGGGGTTTTTTTTTCTACCTCTCCTTGTTGGCATGCCTGCTTCCCCACAATGAACCCTATTTTTATGAGCCTTGAGATTTGATTTCTGTGTGAATGCTTTCTCACACTGATCACATTTATGAGGCCTTTCACCAGTGTGTGTGACAGCATGAGTTTTCAAATTAGCTATCTGTCTAAATGCTGCATCACACTGATCACATTTATATGGCCTTTCATCAGAGTGTATTTTCTGATGTGTTTTTAATGTTGACAGCTGAGTGAAACAAGACTTGCACTGTGGACACTGATATGGTCTCTCACCTGTATGGATTCTTTTATGAGCTCTAAGATTGCCCTGCTGAGTGAATTTTGATCCACATTCTCCACATGTGAATGGCTTCTCCCCTGTATGTCGCCACATATGATTCTTTAGTTGAGTGCTATTCTTGAAAATTTTTTCACATTCATTACACTTGTGTATTACTGGAATACGAGGAGGTTTTGGTTCTTTAGGTCTTTTGGGTTTTGGTGGCTTGGGAGTTGAAGCCATTGGGAGCTCATGTCCTAGCATTGGAGGGTAATCCTGACTAAAGGGTTTGACATCAAGATATGGTTTTACTTCTAGATCATCTTCCATTCTCATATTATCACGGTGATCTCGGTCTTGGCCATCACTAATGTACTGGTTAAACTGGGCATTGTAATGACCTGTGTAAAATTGATGCTGTGTGGGTACAGGAGTGCATGAAGGATCGGTCATGGATGATACAGGAGTTGGTGGACCAAGACTATTGTGACTCAACTCTCCTCCTCGATACAATGATTCTGAATAACGCGGCGACTCAACTCTCATTGGTTCTCGCATCTGATGTGGAGATTCTGACATCATTCGATGCGTCAAGGCATCATAATGTGAGCGCATGGAAGGCATAGGGGAATCTTGAGGGGGTAATGCATTCATCCTCATGCCACCTGTAGTGTTCGTGTTATCGTGATTAATGCGAAGATTCTCTGGCATAACTTGGTGTGAGGGCTCTGTTACACAAAGATTTTCTGGCACCATTCGAGATGCTTCATTTGTCACCCTGAGATTCTCTGGCATTAAAGAATGAGTTTGAGAAGTTTCTGAACATAAACGTAGATGATGAGGTGTGTCTGCTCCAAGTCGCATATGCTGATTACTTTCAACTCCCATATGATGATGATGATGATGATGATGTTGATTATCAGAGCCCATGCGGAGATGCTGCTGTGAAGATTCTACCCCTATTCGAAGATGCTGCTGTGAAGATTCTACCCCTACTCGAAGATGCTGGGAGACTTCTACTCCTAATCGCAAGTGCTGAGACGTTTCAGCTTCTACTCGTAGATGATGTGGAGTCTCTGCTCCTACTCTTAGATGTTGTGGAGTCTCTGCTCCTGTTCTTAAATGATGTGGAGTCTCTGCTCCTACTCTTAGATGTTGTGGAGTCTCTGCTCCTACTCTTAGATGTTGTGGAGTCTCTGCTCCTACTCTTAGATGTTGTGGAGTCTCTGCTCCTACTCTTAGATGTTGTGGAGTCTCTGCTCCTACTCTTAGATGTTGTGGAGTCTCTGCTCCTACTCTTAGATGTTGTGGAGTCTCTGCTCCTACTCGTAAATGATGTGGAGTCTCTGCTCCTCGTAAATGATGTGGGGTCTCTGCTCCTACTCGCAAATGATGTGGAGTCTCTGATTCTGTTCGCAAATGATGTGGAGTCTCTGAGTCTACTCGCAAATGATGTGGTGTGTCTGATCCTACTCGTAAATGATGTGGTGTTTCTGCACCTATTCTGAGATGGTGTGGTGTGTCTGCTCCTATTCTGAGATGTTGAGGAGTCTCTGCTCCTCGAAGATGCTGTGGTGTCTCTGCTCCTACTCGAAGGTGCTGAGGAGTCTCTGCTCCTACTCGCAGGTGCTGAGGAGTTTCTGCTCCTACTCGAAGGTGCTGAGGAGTCTCTGCTCCTACTCGAAGGTGCTGAGGAGTCTCTGCTCCTACTCGAAGGTGCTGAGGAGTCTCTGCTCCTACTCGAAGGTGCTGAGGAGTCTCTGCTCCTACTCGAAGGAGCTGAGGAGTCTCTGCTCCAATTCGTAAATGTTGAGGAGTGTCTGCTCCAATTCGCAGATGAAGGGGAGCTTCTGCCCCAATCCTCATGTGCTGTGGAGTTTCCACTCTACTTTGAAGATGCTGAGGAGTTTCTGCCCTAACTTGAATGTGCTGTGGAGTTTCGGTGCCAACTCGGAGATGTTGAGGAGTTTCTGCCCCTATTCTAAGATGTTGAGGTTCTGTCCCTACTCGAAAATGTTGAGTTTCTGCTCCTACCCGAAGATGTTGAGGAGTTTCGGCATCTCCACGAAGATGCTGAGGGGTTTCTGCTCCCAGTCTGAGATGTTGAGGAGTTTCTGCTCCCAGTCTGAGATGTTGTGGAGTTTCTGCCCCTCCACGAAGGTGCTGAGGGGTGTCTGCTCCTACACGAAGATGTAGAGGGGTTTCTGCACCAACTCGAACATGCTGGGGAGTTTCTGACCTTGCCTGAATATGTGGTGTGTCTGCCCTTACCTGTAAATGTTGAGGAGTTTCTGCTCCTACACGTAAGTTTTCTGGCATGATGCGTTGATTAGTTAAATCTGTTCCATATCTTAATGAATCAGAGTGAAGATTATCATTTGAGGAGTAACGCAAATTTTCAGATATCATTCTTTGGTCAGTTGGTGACCTTAAATTTTCTTGCATAGTTCTCTGAGAAGGGCTGAAGTAGTCTCTAAGGCTCTCTTGCACCATACGCTGTGCATCTGCATGACTACGAATGGACTCTTGCACAGTACGCTGAGGGGGTTCTGAAGGCGGCCTCAGGGGATCAGACATTATACCACGATATGGGGCCTCAGGACTTCGTATTGATTCTGATACTGATGGACGCAGAGCCTCAGCAACCAGTCGTTGAGAATCTGACTGCAGTCTCTGGAGGTCAGAAAGTCGCTGTTGTAGATTAGAGTCTTGTGCTCTCTGTATGTCTACTGGGTTTCTATAAGAATCACTAGGAGGCCTTTGATATATATCTATATTTTGTTCTTCTGTTCGCTGTAACTCTGATCGTATTCTCTGAAGATCGGCTGGCAAGCGCTGAGATTCATTTGACTGTCTGTAAGGATCTGCTGACATTCTTGGACTATCAATACCATATCTATTTTGATCTAGTGACTCTGCAGCCAATCTATAAGATTCTGGAAGATACCTATGTGCCTCTGGAGGTGTCCCAGTCATAAATTTTGACCCAGAAAATATATTATGTCCCAAAGCCATAAGTTGTGCACTCTGAGACATTAAACTTGAACTAGGGCTAGATATGCTGGGGTAGGAAGCTGGGATTTGTTGGCCAGGGACGGATGACGGATGTGGAAACATTGCTCTTCCATCAAGTGCACCAGCAGGTGTGCCACTGCGACTTCCACTCTGCATCTGAGGATAATTTGTTTTCATTAGTAATGTATTATGTATAAATAAGCACAGTACATTATATAATATGCACCAAAAATTATAAAAACATTATTACAGTAAAACATCAATTTAATGAACCTCAATTTACTGAATCTTAGATTCAATGAACAAAGTCTGGGAACAACAGACAAAGTCTGGGAACAACAAAGTCTGTTAAACCCAGAAATTTCTGTTACAGTCCTCAGGGGAAATTGATTTTGCATTTAATAAACTAAATTGATTATAACCAGAATTATTTGTTATTGCTATGGTCTGCTGGGTCAACTGATCTCAGATTTAACTCTTTCACTGTCTCCCATGTAGGTTTATGTTACTGAAACCAGCATTGTTTTAATAGATCTCCACATAAATTCTAGCAGAATCAAATTTGGCAGGAGAGGCCTGGTAGGTCTAACCATTAGAAAACAGGTTTGTGCAATGTGCACAGTATACAAAAATTGAGGCCATAGCCATCTTTGTATACTACTATCCACCATGCTGCATGGATGCAATGCTTTCGCTCCCGGGTGAATTCAATGTGTATTATTCGCCAATGACAGGTATTGAATCTGGGGGATGAATTCTATGGATTTGAGCATTTAGTGACTGAAAATGACAGCTGGGATGCCAGAAACAGCACTGAAAACCCCAGTGACCCACAGCCATCCATGTCTGGGCTCAGTGCATTCAGAACACGTCCACATCATGAGTGAAAGCTAATATTCTCCTTTAACTTTGGGGATAGATATGATGATAGTGATGTGGACTTTGATTTCCTTACAAGTGATGATGATTATTTACCTGTGAAGCATCACTTTATACAGTGGTCTGTTAGTGTCCCTGCTGCTATTCCCAAGGGACTTAGTACATCATGGGACCCAGCACTATCAACAGACAGTGATAATGAAGTTGATGGTGCTTCCATTGGCTACAGGCAATGCCAGTGACACATGCAGCAGTGGCTGGTGGGGCATAGAGGTGGGCGACACCTGTACCAGCCCAGGCAGTGAACCATGCCCCACACCCCAACAGTCCTAGGCTGCATCCATCACCTACACACAGCTACCAAAATCACTACCACCACAACCAGCCACAAATAACCAATGACCACCACCACCACCAGACTGCATCTGGGATTGGCAGGAGGATGCACATTTTGTGCCCATTCCCCACCAATTTGACGACATACACAGTGGAGTATACCTGGATGGTGTGCAGGGTGTCAATCCCCCTGCAGCCTGGTCCATGACCAGGCCTCACAGTGGATCAAGCCTGATCAACCAGGCTGTTATTGCCAGCTTAATGCAAACTGTACATCCAAAATTTTTTACATAGTGGTCCATTTCATTGAGGATTTATTTGTAAAGAACAAAATGCACTATAAACTTACTCTTCAGAAAAAATAACTAGAAAGACAAACTGATTAATCTGGTCTGCATCTGTACAGTATATACAGGTATCCCTCATTTTAGGCTGTAGATGCATTCAAGGCCCTTGGCACTTACACTAAGCTCAAACAGGCCATAGACACTTAATTACTTATAATAAGAATTTTCACTGCACTTTGTGGATTATGCCAATCATGTAGGGCTTGCAGCAGTAGAACAACTTGTTCTGTGCAGCACACAACAAAGTTCAGGGAAGATTTCAGTATAGATGAAGAATATTTTGATGAAAGGAAATGAGACACAAGGGAAAGAGCAGTTCTCTTGGTATGATTCTGATAATGCAGTTGAATTTAAAATTTCCTTTTAGTTAAGTATTGCCTAGTACTGTCTTTTTATAGATTCCATGATAGCAAGACTGGCAATATTATATAAAAAACAAGATAACAAATTTTGCACTAAAACTGTAAAAAAATGTATTTTTTTCTGCATATTTTAGCAAGACAAAACTGGAGTAAATAAAGACCTTGACAGTGGTGACATGCAGCATGCTAACTCGTAAGTGACAACTTTTGTAATGAAGAGTAATAACAAAAGATAATTAACCCTTAAACTGTCCAAACGTAGATCTACGTTCACGTGCGTACCGCTCTGACCTTGATTTTCCCCACTTGAAAGCATGTAAAAAAAAAGTAGATCTACACTCGGAGCCCCCCCGCACATGGACGTAGATCTATGTTTGGACAGTTTAAGGGTTAAGAAGCTCTGGGCCATAGCAATACTTGGGATGCTAATCATGCTAATGAAGAGGTAAAAGAAGCCATTGAAATATCCTTGAAATACAAGGAATAAAGAAACAAGATACAGTGACTCAAATCTCTCTCTCTATTGCATCTCTAGGGGGTGCTAAACCCATAAGGGAGGTCATACAGTGCCTAGGGAAATAAGAAACATTCAGGTTCGGTCCCAGGAAGGGGAACACAGGTCCAATCCCTCAGGTCAAGAGCCCCTCACCAGCATCAGAGCACCTGCCTCTGAGAGACAGTCGTTCACAAATATGAGCAAAACATTATTTTGCTGGATCCAATTTGTGGGTTTGCTGTCAACTCTTGAACAGTGGTTTAATCTCTTCAAAAGCTTTTGGTTTGTGGACATAGTATATATATAAATAGGTATACCTAGTTACGATGGTGCTTGCTTTAGAGCACTTTGGTAATAAGTACAACGTTTTTAAATTATAATCATGTTTATTATTTTTGGTGCTTACCTTGCTCTTAAGATGCTTTTTGGCAATTTTCAGATTCTTTGATTCATTATTTTTACTTCTGCATCATTCTTTAGGCATAGTGCTATTGCACACTTAATAAATGATAGTGTTTGTAGATGAATGGTTCAGAGAACCGACATGTTGATAAATTAGACACATGTGCAACTCTTGGGTATCTTTATTGAGGAAACGTTTCACCACACAGTGGCTTCATCAGTCCATACATAGGAGAAACTTGAAGAACAGGAGGAGAATGAGGTAATCAGTCCCTCAACCTTGAGTCGATGTGTTCAGTCCATCAATCTTGAGTAGAATACGGCAGATGAGCGGAGAAGCAGCTTATAAACCGTATGGCAGGAGAGGTGTAGCAGTCATAGGTAGTGTCACATTTGTTCAATGTGGAAGTAGGTTGTGCCCAAGAATTAGGCAAGCGAAGAATTCCTAAGTATTAAGATCCCAAGAAGTTGCAGATGAATGGTTCTCTGAACCATTCATCTACAAACCTGTCAGACACTGCAACTTCTTGGGATCTTAATACTTAGGAATTCTTCGCTTGCCTAATTCTTGGGCACAACCTACTTCCACATTGAACAAATGTGACACTACCTATGACTGCTACACCTCTCCTGCCATACGGTTTATAAGCTGCTTCTCCGCTCATCTGCCGTATTCTACTCAAGATTGATGGACTGAACACATCGACTCAAGGTTGAGGGACTGATTACCTCATTCTCCTCCTGTTCTTCAAGTTTCTCCTATGTATGGACTGATGAAGCCACTGTGTGGCGAAACATTTCCTCAATAAAGATACCCAAGAGTTGCACATGTGTCTAATTTATCAAATGATAGTGTAAACACATTTTTAGGTATGAATTGGCAAGTGGAAAAAAAGAAAAAGCCATGATTCATTTCAAGGCAGCATTTGCTTTATGGCAGTGGTCTGGAACTTAACCTGCCATATTAATGAGGTATGTCTTTCTTGGAAGACTCAGAGCCAAAAAATTTGACATCTTAATACAGTGGACCCCAGGTTCGCGATGCTATCGGTATCCGATAAATCCGGTAACCGATGCATTATATCGCAGAAAATTTGCCTCGCTTCCCGATACAAAACCCGGCATGCGATGTGGTTCGTACAAGACGTGTCCATGTGTGGCCTGAACTACCCCGTGTGTGCCAGTGTTTACAAGCCAGCCAGTGTGCGCGCATCTAAGGATACATTCGGTACATTCCATATTATCCATATTATCACTGTTTTTGGTGTCTGTTTTTGCAAAATAAGTCACCATGGGCCCCAAGAAAGCTCCCAGTGCCAACCCTTCGAGACCAAGGGTGCTAATGACTGTTGAAATGAAGAAAGAGATAATTGCAAAGTACGTAAGTGGAGTGCGTGTGTCGGAGCTGGACAGGTTGTATAGTAAACCCCAATCAACCATCTCTACTATAGTGAGCAAGAAAACGGCAATCAAGGAGCTGTTCTTGCAAAAGGTGCAACTGTGATTACGAAACAGCGACCGCAAGTGCTAGAAAATGTTGAGAGACTGTTATTGGTGTGGATAAATGAAAAACAGATAGCAGGAGATAGCATCTCTCAAGCAATCATTTGTGAAAAGGCTAGGCAGTTGCATGACGATTTGGTAAAAAAATTGCCTGCAACTAGTGGTGATGTGAGTGAATTTAAGGCCAGCAAAGGTTGGTTTGAAAGATTTAAGAATTGTAGTGGCATACATAGTGTGATTAGGCATGGTGAGGCTGCCAGTTATGTTGTGCGACAGAGGTCCAGTGACTCTCAAGCTGGTCCTAGTGGCATTAAAAGAAGAAGGGAAGTAACCCCAGAAAAGAACTTGCTACCTCAAGTCCTTCTAAATGCTAACACCATCCACACTCTCCCCTCCTCCCATCCCATCAATCATCACCAGATCTTCATTAAAGGTAAGTGTCAATTATTCTTTCATTATTTATTGTTATTTATTGTTGTTATTGTAATTACTATTCTATTGCATTAAACTTAATATTTCACGTGGTAAAAGTTTTTTTTTCATACTTTTGGGTGTCTTGCACGGATTAATTTGATTTCCATTATTTCTTATGGGGAAAATTGATTCGCTTTCCAATATTTTTGGTTTACGATGAGCTCTCAGGAACGGATTAGTATCGCGAACCGGGGGTCCACTGTACTTTATTTATATTTCCCAGATACATTTCAGGTACTTGGGATATACAATGGATTTTAACTATAAGCAAAGCTGTCAAGTAAAATTTAATGAGAAAATTTATATGGTTGCCACTGTACATGCAATTTTAAAGTAAAAATTCCAAACAGAAGGCTG